GAGAGAGAATGAGGTGGCTGGATGAAGTCACTGAAGCAGTAGGCATGAGCTTAAATGAACTCCAAATGATGGTAGAGGACAGAAAGGCCTGGAGGAACGTTGTGCATGGGGTCATGATTGGACACGACTTCGCAACTAATAACAACAACAACATCCCCAGTAGGCTGCCTTGAATAGGAAGTTTGCTAGCAAATTAAAGCAATAACTATGCAATAGAAACAGCAGGGAAATACAACAGGGCACACATCTCAGTATGCTAATAGCAGTATCTTAAAATACCTGAGAGAACAAGGAAGTTTTCAGGTGGCACTGAAAAGCCATGATGGCTTCTCTGAAATACATTTTGGCAAATATGTGAGGCTGCCGGAGAAATGACAATCTTTTTTTACTCCCATCTGCCTCAAATAAAAGACCTAAAAAATTTGTCCTCTGCTTTAAATGCTGGAGATTTTCCAAAATCATAGATGGAAGTTTTTACCCACTAGAAAGTATTTTTGTCATTAAAAATCCCCAATATCTAATCAATATGAAAGAAAAAAATAATAATTAAATGGCTGACAGATGTAATGATATGTTAAAATGAAATTGTTATTTTGCTATTCTTTGTGTTGTATTGTATTTATTACGTACATAATGACAAAAAATAGACAACCCCCTCAACATCAGAGAACTGAAATTATCTGAAATAAAAAAATCAGCTCTGAAAAATAAGAAGTATAAAATTGCGGGGGAGGGGAACATAGGTCCTAATTATTCAGTAGTAGAGCACTGGTATGCATTTTAGAATTAGGATATTTAGAAACTTACCATTTTGCATATAAATATTATTTCTACATTTATTTATTTGTCAGATTTAAAAACTGCCCATCTCCCTAACAAAGAGATTATGGGTGGTGTGTAATAAAACATTAAAAGCATAAAAATAGTATATAAACAATGCAAGAAATTTTAAAAAATTAATTAAAAGGGCAGAGAAGACCTTTGGGGCTAACTTTGGAATTTTAGATAATTTTATGAATTTTAAAAAGAATATTGACTTTGTAAAAGAAAAAAAAATCCAGTTCAATTGATTATCTTTTCTTCTTTTAAAAATAGGTGGTGAACTTAGCCCGAAATCTGATATATTTTGGCTTCTATAATTTTTGTGATCTTCTAAGACTAACAAAAATTCTCTTAGCTATTCTGGACTGTGTTCATGTTGCAACTATTTTCCCGATTACAAAGGCAACAAAAGGGGAAGAAAGTAAAGGTAAGAATGGCAAGGAAAAATGGAGGAGATGTTGAGAGACATTTAACTCATCTGTTGTGGTCCTTTGGCTGCCAGCACAACTGCCAGTGGAGTTAGATGGGGAGGGGAAGAGGGAGGGAGAGCCTGGGCCAGTTTCGGAGCCTTTGGAAGACTCAGATAAAGAAACAGCATCAGAGACAGAGCTGGAGCCATCAGTCCTCCCCCAGGTGGAGAGGCAGCTGTCTTCGGGGCCTAAGCTGAGTGAAGGGGAAGAACAGCTGGGACCCATCCCAGATGCTCCTATGAGAGGAAAAGAGGAGAGCAAAGGAAAGCAGTAAGCCGGCTCTCAGAGAGGGAGACACCGATAATAGTCAGCTCCTCTTTGGCTGGGAAATAAATAGGAGGGGTTTTGGAGTGGCGGGTTGTTGCAGACAGCTGTTCATTTCTAGTATACAGCAAANGCCCTGAGTCCCCTTCGGGGGAAAAGGGCGGCATATAAATAAAATCAACATTCAAACATTCAAAATCAACATACTAGAATGCTTAGATCTTTCCTTTAGTTGTTTCTGTTTACCACATTTACAGAAGGCCAGTTGTAGTGTTTAGTCTGTTTTCTTCAGTTCTCTTGTTCTTTCCTTTGCTAGGAGAATACACATAGGGAATTTTTATACCTAAGAAGTGGAGGTTATACATGCTTCATCAATCAATAAAAATAAAGCAAACAGCTTTAGAGGGATGCTGAACAAAAGGATGCTGTAGTTTAGGAGCATTTTTTATTGTATGCTGCAATCTTGGGTCATATTCTACCCTACAGAATGCAATGATTAGTGGGGACAAAATACCTTTATTATGATAAAATATGAATGTTGAATATTACAACATTATGAAGACAAGCTGGATAGAGTTCACCTGAAAAGTTTTGCATTCAATGAGAGAAAGAAGTTACTAATTTTCAAGGGCACAATGCAGATGCTTGGTGTTGAGAAAAGTATGGAGAAAGTTGCTAATGAAGAAGCTGTCATCCATTTTCCACTGATGATTAAATGCCTGACTTTATATCCAGTTTTAATTTGTAATGCTCTTTTTGTCCTATCCACCAAATGAAGTACAGTCAGGGAAACTGGGTTGTCCTTAAACTTACTTAAAAAGTAAGAGTTCTTACTTTCATTTTAATGTTGCTATATTTTGTCTTTGCAGTGAAGAGAATACACCACTAGATTTGGATGATCATGGTGGCAGAACTTTCCTGAGAGTTTTGCTCCATTTAACAATGCATGACTATCCTCCACTAGTATCTGGGGCACTTCAGCTACTCTTCAGACACTTTAGTCAGAGGCAAGAAGTCCTCCAGGCTTTTAAACAGGTAAATGTCAAGGTTCCAACAGATGCCCTAATTAATTCATGAGTCCTCAGCCAAGTTTCAAAAGAAAATCAGTTATTTATTAGGAGCAGCATGTTGGTGTCTACTGCCGCAGGTAATTTATGGTTCAACTTTGACCTTGTTTCCCCCCCCCCCTCCTCTCAATCTGTGTCATAAATCACATTCTCCAATGATGCACTCCCATGGGCTGAAGAAGCCCACTCCTCACAAGCCAGCTATGGTAATCTGAGATCCTACCCTGGAAGAAGGTATGTGTGGAATGTGCTCCCACCTTGATGCCCATGGCAATTCGAGAGCAGGCTAGAAAGCTTTGCAAGTTAACAGTAAATGCAGTTGTGTAATGTTTTCTATTTGCTTTGAAGTTTGTAGAGCAAGCGTATATTGCAAATAACCAATTTCAATTCATGTAAGGTTCAACTGCTTGTTACCAGCCAAGATATTGACAATTATAAGCAGATAAAGCAAGACTTGGATCAGCTGAGGTCCATTGTTGAAAAATCGGAACTCTGGGTATACAAAGGACAGGGGCCTGATGAAGCTGCAGATGTGACAACAGGAGAAAATGAACATAAGAAAAAGGAGGTAAGAAGAAGAACTTTTATCAATGCTGCTTAAGAGCTGCAATGCCCCCTCCTGACTTGGAATATTAGTTACAGCCTAACTTTGATAATTATAAAAAGATTAACAATCAGTATAATATAATCAGTATTATATGTTTGAGAGCCCTAGTTTCTGTATAATCTAGATCCGTGATGGTAAACCTATGGCACGTGAGCCGTTACCCCAGTTTAGCTTTGCCACGCATGCACATGCATTTCCTACCGACCAGCTGGTTTTTTTGGTCTTTGCCATGCATGCGTAGGATGTGGGGTGAATGCGGAAGGTGCATGTGCAACGGGGTACACATGGGGGCAAGTGCACATGCGTGTGTGTCTGAGGGTTGCTTGTGTGGGAGGTGGGGCGCATGCAGGGGATTGCACATGCATGTGCAGGGGGTGGAGTGCATACAGGGTCGCGTGTGCATGCACAGGGGTCATGGGGGCTGATGCGTACATTGTATTATGGGTGTGTGCACGTACACACGCGCTTTCGACACTTTGTGACGAAAAGGTTAGGCATCATTGATCAAGATGTAGTTGAATGAATCTTCCGGTACAGTATAATGTAGTTTTTCCAAAAATCAAATAAATAGATAACATTTATTTAATAAAAAATATTGTCCCTNATCTAAAGGCTCTATGTGCTGTGTGCTGTGTCTTGCTCCTGGGTTTATCTCATATAAATAGTCACGCTGCCAAAACTCTGATGGCAATGTCTTTTTTCTCAGGCCAGCATTACATTGCTGTCCATAATCATTTCACACTAAGAATCAGGATAGTATTTCCCTCAAATACATTCCAATGTAGAGATTAGAGTCTTATTTATAACATTTATAATTTTTGCTTGATATTATTAAAAATGTAAGTTTGTTGAACTTACATGAAATCTTGCACTTACAATCCTGAGAGTTCGAAGTTATGCATTAAAGTAAGATCCCAACCATCTTCCTTGAATGGTAATCTGTGAGAGTATCTTGCAAAATGCCAGTATAGAAAATTTGTGCCACTTGATTTCATATAAAAAATTAATTGCTCTGCTTTTTGGCATTCCATAGACCCTTCTGAATTTTAATAGATGCTTTGTAGTTTCAGTTTCTTATTTATAATGATTATACTAAGTTATTCAGGTTGGCCAAAAATATGATTTTTAGCATCTGTCTCAGCTTTTTGTGCATAATAAGTAGATAATACTAGATATGGTATAGTTATACTTAAAATCTATAGAACAGTCTACGTTCTACAACAATGAGATGAGATTTCTCTTGATTAAGAATTATGCAACTCTAGTTCTGCAGTAAGACATGAGAGCCAGTTTGGTCTAGTGTTTACCAGGCTAGAAAGCAGGAGACTGTGAGTTCGAGTCCCACATTAGGTATGAAAGCTGACTGGGTGACTTTAAGCCAGTCAATTTCTCTTAACCTAATAGGGTTGTTGTTGTCGTGGGGAAAATAGGAGGAGGAAGAAGTACTGGGTATGTTTACCACCTGGAGTTATTTATAAAAATAATATATATGTGGGGACTAAATAAATAATTTCACAAAGAAATAAATGCAAATTTAAAATATTTGTCTGAGGTATTTATCTATTTCTGAAGGGAGCAATGTGATGAGATCTATCCATGGTGTTGGAGAGCTCATGACCCAAGTAGTACTCAGAGGTGGTGGCTTCTTGCCTATGACACCCTTGACCGCTGTCCCGGAAGGTAACGTGAAGCAAGTTGAACCCGAGAAAGAGGACATCCTAGTAATGGATACCAAACTGAAAATAATTGAAATCCTCCAGGTATAGATGATATTTTGCTGATTCATTTCATTCTTATATAATTTTTATTCCACACAATTACGATTGGAAGTAAACAAATGTTTTTTCTCCCAATTATATTAACTGTTAATGAATCTTTTGCAGTAAATCATTGAATAAGGAGAAGGAAAATATGACAGAAAAATGAGGCGCAGAGCAATTCAGTAGAAATATTTAGGAAGCTGGCATGCTTCACTAACAGTAGTTCAAAGTCTTAAGTATTTTTCAGAACCTTTTTTAAGCCTTGTGAAATTTGTCTACTGTTCAATTCTGAAGACATTCGAACACCATCCAAGTCAACATATATAAAGTTACAGCACATCCTTCTGTATAACTCAGTTCTTTCTTTGAGATATGCATTTTTGAAAGAATCTTGAGAAAATTTAGGAAGCTGAGGATTTTCATGCCTGTTATAAATATGTAATCCTCTCAGAATCACCTTATAGGGGAGATGATGGCATAAAAATTGGATGGATGGAAGGATGGATGATAAAGCTTGAAGTATTCTTGATCATGGAGAAATGCAGAAGTGATTAGACATAAAGATTTATTTTCTGGTATCTCTAGTTAGAAAGATCAAGTATCTTAATTTGTTAAAAAGATTTGTACCATTTTTGTGATGTTTCTTACAAATATTGATCATCTGTAAATTTGGAATCATTTATATCCAACACTGATGTTAATGTAAGATTTTATTTATTTACTTTTTTATTACATTTATATGTCGCCCACCTCACTGTTGAAGTGACTTTGGGTGCCTCAAAAGCATCCAGTCGAAATTGTATGGTTGCATGTATGGTCAAAATATGTTTTAATAGACTATAGTGCTATTCAACAGTTTTAGAAAATCCTTTTTTTTTTTTTTTACAATACTGTACAATGAACATTTTAAAAGACTGATTACCAATAGTATTGTTTTTCCAGGCTTTACCTAGAATTCTCAAACTGTTTATTTCAATTCTAATATAAATCTGATGTAAGCTTCTGTCAGGTGTGAAGAATTAGGACCAACTAGTTAAGTTGCAGCATAGAAGATTTATTCAAGCCTATGCACAAGAATCTCATCAACTAAAATTCAACATTAAATTGGTGCCAGATAAGGCTCAACAAAATTCAGGAGGAATTGTACTTGGAGCCCTTGTGGGAATGTAACAGCTCTAAGCTGATGATGCATTTAACTCTGCGCCTTAGTTATGCCTGCTCTGCTCCTACTGCTCCTTCTCAACCTTAAAAAGAAGGCAACCTTCAGTCCAACAGATTTACAGTTTTTTAAATTATCTTTAGAGGTCTCAGAACTGCAGGAAGCTTTGCATCTGTTGTTCCCTTCTCAAATCACTATTGATTCAAATGACATTTCTTCATACTTCAGTTGATTTTAAGTATAGAAAATAACCTCGGTTACTTAATAGACTTCAAATAATTTGTTGTTTCTGTTTATATCATGTTTCTGGGTAAGGTTCACTGATACTTTAATGTGTCAAACCTAAGATCCATCAAATGTTTAAGCTCATTTGTCTCTTGGAATACAACCAGAATAACATTGTATAATTAATATTGTTTTCATTTTTGTTCAAACATTGGAACCACCAGTTTATTCTGAATGTGAGATTGGATTACCGAATCTCATGCCTTCTGTGTATATTTAAACGAGAATTTGATGAAAGCAACGCACAGACATCTGAGTCACCTTCAGGGAGCAATAATCATGAAATGCCAAATGTACCAGGTCAGTAATTTGCATATTTTTGTATTATAGAGTATGAGCAAACATTTTTTAGCTGGGGAACTCGCTGATGATGGATCCCTTCCAATGAGATCCCCTCACTCATTAAAGAGGCAGTACAGAAAGCATTGGCCCATAATTTTTTAAGATTTATGAAATGATTTTAAGGCTATTGGTGGTGCATTTTGTGTCACAACAGCTTAAATACACCCATTTTCATGTTGCTGTTTTGTATTAAAATTGGAAATACATTTTGGCAGCATCCAACTTTTTCCCACTAACTTTTTTATGACAGACGGGAATATTTTTATTTTGTCTTGCACAAGTTTAGCACATTCTTTTCCAGTCTAACACAGCCAAAATGTCCTGTAATACTGATTTTAGTCAGTATAAATAGCAATACATTGCAGGCTATTTCTTCTGGCAATGACTAACTAGAGCAACTCAGAATAAACTAAAGCAACATCCATTCCACTTTCTAAGCAAAATTGAAGTTATGGCAATTTGCTACCATATTGTATATTGCAATAGATGTAAATGTGGGTTAAATTAAGGTTTCTTGTATCTTTGGGCTAGTGTTGAGAGTTGCAACTCTGGAAGAAGCCAGATTGGCGAAGGTCTTTAAATGCTGTAGTCAGTATATTTTGATTTATGCACTTGAGTGAAAGGTGAGATCTTTGAGTCACTGATACATCTACTGTTTGTATATTCTGTGTATATTCATAAACCCAGTATCTGTTCACATATGAATTCATGAATGAGTGGTATTAGGATGAGGGGGAAGCACAGATGGGTAATGTACAAGTTGCTTATTCGTCTTCTGCTGAACTGGGAAAAAGACAAGAGTATATTTTAAAATATTCTTTTAGAAAATAGAGCATCATCTGCTACTACCTCCCTGTCTTAGTATAAACTGTTTCATTAAGCAATTTCTGTGCAAACTGGCTCCCTCACTGGCTTAATTTATATAATGGTTTTGGGTTTTTTTTCAATTTTGACGCAGAGAAAACTGCCTTGCTTGTTAGGTGTAGGTTCTTACAATTCACTTATTTTATTCTACAGAAAGGGGGGGGGGAAGTAATGGCTTGATTTGAATTATTGTTTCATTGTTGTGAACTCAGTGCAAATCACATTATTTGTTTTCCTTTACAGGTGCTCTTGACTTTGAAAATATTGAAGAACAAGCAGAAGGGATATTTGGAGGCAGGAAAGTAAACTATGGCAATTTGTATTCTTTTGTTCTCAACTATATGTAAAATAGTTTCTGGAAACTCGATGTTCATAGTTTTAGAGGATAAATTCTGGGGTTCACAGTACACTACTGGTGTACCCATGGGTATCTTTTTTGGTGCCTTCCAGGACAGTTTTGTAATTGAGCATACCGTCTTGGCAATTGTTTCCCAAGAATGGAGTATGAACATGTTCTCAAAAGTACAGATGTACCCAGTGGTGGGATTCAAATAATTTAACAACTAGCTCTCTGCCCTAATGACCAGTTGGGTAGGCATGGCTTGGTGGTCATGTGACTGGGTGGGAGTGGCCAACTCAACATCACTCACATCGATGGGCACTTCACCTTAGCTGTTACAATGTAATAAGGGTTAACCGGAGAGGCAGTTTCTGTAAGCAGGTCAATAAAGATTAGGCTAGAAACAACACCAGAATGTTTCCTTCCTGCCTTTCTTACAGGATTAGCCCTGTCAAGAGGGAAAAAACAAAATGGGATTTCTTCCAACAACCGGTTCTCCAAACTGCTTAGAAAGTTAACAACTGGTTCTCCCAAATAGGTGCGAGCTGGCTGAATCCCACCATTGGGTGTACCTACCTGGCCAAAATGTTTATGAGCATTCAAATGGCTTGTACCAATTTTTTGAGAACCCATTTAGTCACATATAAGCCTCCAACATTACCTTATTTTGAAAACACAATTGAAAGTTACAAACACAAAAGTTTTAGAAGTATATACAGTAGATATCGAAGGGTAGATAGCAGACAAACAAGGCAGAAACATAATTAATCATTTTATAATTACTTTGTTAAAGCATATTCTAGAAGTATGGATATAGGTATGGGTATGTATGTAGGTACATATGGACAGGTAGTCCTCGACTTACAACAATAGCAATAGCAGTTAGACTTATATACCGCTTCATAGGGCTTTCAGCCCTCGCTAAGCAGTTTACAGAGTCAGCATATTGCCCCCACAGTCTGGGTCCAGTTCATGTAGTGACCGTTCAAAGTTATAATGGCACGTAAAATGTGATTTATTACTGTTTTTCACAATTACGATCTCTGCAGCATTCCCATGATCATGTAATCAAAATTCAGATGCTTGGTAACTGGCTCATTGCTTTG